TGGAAGTGAAAAAGAACAAGTCATCTTATAATTTACAGTGAAAAAACATATCTTGACAATCCCAGAATACTCTACTACTTCCTACAGAATACTGTGCAACAGCTCACATTTCTGTCAGGACCACTATCGTCAAAGATGATTGACAATTACAGTTTGGGTTGGCGGTATGGTTCTGTTCTGGGCAAGAACTCCCTGCGCATCCTGCAGCCTAGCATGGATGAGAGCAGGGAGAGCAGCGATACCCCCCAGGGTAAACAGAACAGAACCAACATAAATGTATTGCAGATATTGTTAAAGTTCAATAATGTTATGTACACATTTTAGAATTAGTCTGATTCAAAGGAGAATCAGAAGGCTGAATCCTGACTGACAGAGGAGGAGTTGGGGATGGAGAAGGGTAATTAGCTATTGAGCAATGCGAAAATTGCTGATAATACTGAGGGACCTTATATATGAATGCTTAGATAGGTGTCGTATTCCCATAGGTAGATGGGGATCAGCTGAGAGTCAGCTGATGCAAGCTTGACTAACGTGACCTGCCAGAACTAACGCTATGCTAGATTTTCATTTAAATAACTATGATATTTCTTTCTACGTTTTTTTCCCTTCATCAGTTACGTACATTAGGGTTTTATGTTATATCACACATTATTAAATAACTTGTATTGCTTTATTTTAGTGTCATGTGTGTTACTGTGATGGTGTGTGCATGACACTGTGCACCTTCTATATTAGTATTAACCTCAGATACTTGTGGCGAACTTTGATTCATCATGTGATTTTTTTTTTACCATAAGTGTTTTTATGGTGGCTGTCACTATATCATAAAGTAAAAAAAAAAGTACTTTTGTATGTTAACATTATTTTAATGAAACATAATTTTTAACTCTAAATTTAAGATAAATCTGTGAACTTAAAATGTTGTAACAGTACTTTTTACAGTTGCTGACCACTGCTGCTGTTTTTTTTTGAATGTAACAATTTTTCTTTTTTTTAAACTGTTATATTTACAACCCAGTGGTGTCACGCACAAAGCTGACTGCATTACACTTTAGTGTCATGCTAGAGTTGTTGTTGCTATGCTCGGAAAAAGAGGAGAACTATTTGTGTACCATAACATCTCAGGACCTTCCATCTGGAACGGAGTGAAAAACGCTGATGTTTCAGGTGTAGTTCACTCATTAGGGGTGGTGGGCTGGCAGATATAGGGGTTTGAATGAATGTTCTGCCAAAACACAACAAACAATGTTTAATAAAGAAGGAAAAAGACTTCTATCAGGCTTTGCCAATGTTTGTGTGTGTATAGAACTGGCAGGAGGTTAAGCTGAGTGTATTTTTGTAGCTGTTGTGAAAATGGAGCTTCCTGTGGTTTAGAGAGAGCCCCTGTGGAGAGAAACATTTATACTGCCGATTCCCACACACTGTGTCCTACTGAGACACACGTGCATTTTTACCTCGCTATTTAAATGAGGACATCTTTTTAATTTTTTTTTACCAAAAGTAAATTAAAGGGGTGGTTGATTATGATTTCACTTTTTTTAAATGTAGTTTGTGTGTAATGCTGTTAGAGCATAAACAAGAATTCAGAAGATTTCTATTTCAAATAAATGTTGACAAACAAATGCTGTCTTCTTGAACTTACCCTCTTGAACTTTGAACTTAAAAGAGTCCTGAAAAAAGGTATCACGATTTCCACAAAAATATTAAGCAGCACACCTTTTGTCAACATTGGCGATAATAATAGGAAATGTTTCTTGATTGAATGATTTCTGAAGGATCATTTGACACTGAAGACTGAAGTACTGATTGACGAAAATTCAGCTTTGCATCACAGGAATACATTACATTTTAAAATATATTCAAATAGAAAACAGTTATTTTAAATTATTTTAAATCAAACTTCACAATATTGCAAAATTTACTTTATTTTTTACTATATTACTATATAAATTACATGAAGCCTTGGTAAGCATAAGAGACTTAAAAAAAAAAAAAAAAAAAAAAACCTAAAAAAATCTAACCGACTCCATGTATATTGTTCTAATGTGATGGTTAGAGTTTTTTTTAAAGAGGATTAAATAGGTAACTATGAACATTTAACAATATATTACAATAAACCAAAGTGCAAATTATCAGACTTTTTTTTTTTAAATAATACTAAATAAAGCCAAATAAATCAAATATATTTTTACATGGCTCTCTGGAATATATTTATATTTTATGTAAGGGATCATGTGCCCCTTCAGGGTGATACAATATTTCCCGATTACCCTGTCAGTGTTTATTTAATGATAACAACTGCCTGGACATACATTAAATATAAACATACATTTATTATTTAAAATATAAATATAATAAACATATTATATGAAACAGTCACAACCGTAAAACCTAAAACGATGCTACCGTATTTTTTACGGTAAAATTCCGGCAACCACACCGTAAATTTTACGGAATTTTTTTTTACAGTGTAGGATACATTTTAGTATCTATACAACATCAGTATTGGGAGTATTAATACTTAAATAGCTTGTACCCTTGAGTTTACAGCATATGATACATGAACTCATATTCAATTAATTCCATAAAAGACCAAAAACCAGGAATCAAATGTGAAAATCAGGGCATGACCCACTTAAAAGGTCTTCTTCAGCTCTAAGAAGCCTCTCTCGTGTGTAATGCAGGGCTGTACGTTAACTTTTTTTTCACATAGCACTGGTGCTACAGAGGTTGAAAGTTTTGTAGCACAGGCAATGAGTATGCGCTCAGAAAAAGCGCATGCAGAACAGCACGTGAATTAAATGTTTAACCGGTATTTCTTTAAAGCAGATGGAAATAATGTAGTTTTGTGATTGCGCATAAGTGCAGTGTCCCGTGAGAGTAACTCTACCGCTGAGCTAACACTGATGTGAATGCATGTGGCTTTGTACATTACATTGAGGCGGAGGGAGGCGCCAGAACTGTAGCTGATAGAATGTGCGCTGTAGCAGATACAACGATATTTCTTCAAAAGCAGATCGTGGAGACATTCAAAAATCGTCATATCGCACACCCCTAACTACCAAGTATAATCAATCTCACACACACAAACAAGCACAACGAAATCACTTCACACTATTAAGCGGCTGTGTTATGAACATGCAAAATTGTATCGCACCCGTGCTACAGTGGTAAATTTATTCATCGCACAGACCAGTTTTTTTGTAGCACGTGCGACATATATGTCACACTGTACAGCCCTGTAATGGATGAAAAGTCTTTCCCGAACGCTGAGGTGAGAGGAATACAGAAGAAGAGAGAGGCTCTTTAAAAGAGCTTCCCTGGCAGTCAGGGCCGATTAGTCTCTGTACATACACCCGCACTCTTTATCTCTCTCACTCTCCCTCATCTTCCTCGCACTCCCTTTCCCCCTCTCTCGCACTTGCTTTTTTGTCCTTCTGCTCGCTTTATTTCCCCTGACAGTGGACCTTGGAGTCAGCTGTCCATGTCTGCTATGGGAACAGTGAGAAAGACCGAGAGAGAGTGGGAAAGAGAGCAAATGCCCTTGAGAGTGATGAGTATGTATGTGTGAGAAGCCAAAGCATTTCCGACATCCATGTGCTTCAGTCAAGCAAATACCTTGATCAGCAACTGTTTTGTCCTCAAAACAGTCGCCCTGGATCAAAATGTATCATGCCAATCCAGACTAATTATGATATTAAAGCACATGGTTCTCATGGGTGGGCTGGCAGAATTGGGACACTTCCCACAAGGTTGGTGGTTTGATCCCTTGTACAATCCTACACTACCTACAGTACCAAATGTTGTGAATTTGAGCAATGCATCATAGCATTACTATCATCTAAGAAAAAAATTAAAACAAAATGTAAACTATAAAAAGAGCTTCAATTTTTGAAAACAAAACAAGCAATGATAGCATTACTATCATCTAAGAAAAAAAATAAAACAAATGTAATGTAAACTATAAAAAGAGCTTCAATTTTTGAAAACAAAACAAGCAATGATAGCATTACTATCATCTAAGAAAAAAAATAAAACAAATGTAATGTAAACTATAAAAAGAGCTTCAATTTTTGAAAACAAAACAAGCAATGATAAAACAAAAACAACAGTGACAAGAAAGAATCATGTTGAACAAACAGGCAACCGAAAGAACAGCATCTTCAAATAAATAAATAAATCTATTCGGTCTGGTTATTTTATTAATATATTATATTAAATATTTAATATTTGTAAATGTTTGTAACACAAAATTTTGTTAGTAAGTAAATAAATAAATCTATATGATCTGGTTAGTCTTTTATTTAGCAACTATTTACCAATTTACCATTAAGTAAGCACGAAGGTAAGTAAGCAAGTAAGTAAACAAACAAACAAACAAGCAAACAAACAAACAAAAATAAATAAATAAGGACTGGCTAATCTTTTATTTATTATATTTATATATTATATTTACCATTTAAATATTTTTGTAACAATTTAATGTTAAGAAAGTAATTATGTAAACAAACATAAATAAATCTATTTAGTCTGGTTATTTTATTTATTATATTTATATATTATATTAAATATTTATCGTTTAAATATTTTTGTACCACAATTTGGTGTTAAGAAAGCAAGTAAACAAACAAACAGTAAGCTACTGGAGTATAAATTAAATAACTTCGCATTCAAAAATTGCAGTACGCTTAGGGTTAGGGTATTTATTGGAATAAAACAGCATGAAGCATGTAGTCTAGCTCTCATATTATTAATATAATTACTCGATTTTACCTTACATACATAAATGTGCTTATGTGTCCAGTATATCAAATACAAGGTTTTAATCATTACCTGTGGGCCCCTAAAATCACTTGAGCCCATTAGTTACAGACTTATATGAATCACAACTTCAAGAGTGTCGTATGATGAAAGACTAACGGTACATATCTCAGAAGTCTTGATATGACACCCAACATGTGAGACCCTCTCATAAGATGTGAACTTGTAAAGGCTCTCACCAGAGTTTGACATGACTGGCTCTTTTTCTTCACCTCCTCCTCAAGGACTTCACACTCCTTTCTCTTCCTGGTGATCTCAGTCTCCTGAGGGAAAAAAGAAAATAAATACTGTTAGATGGATAGATGAATTCAATTTGCTGTTAAAGTAGATGTGGCCTAATGCAACCGTCTCTCTTCAGGGAGGCTGGATGCGGCATAACACACAATCTGTGTATGTATGCATGTGTATGTGAGCTCGTGCCCGTGTAGGAAATAGCAACACATTCTCAGAGCCAGTGGGCACCCGTATACATCATCTACCTATAAATAGCAACATTCTCTATAGCACAATGTTGCAATGCCATCAGCGAGATGCACAAGTCTAAAAGTCACTATAAATACAAATCCACTAAAAGAAAAACAAACACACACACAGTTCTAATGGACATGAAAAAATGTGCATATTCAATGTAAAAATCATGCTCATATCTGTATAAAAGCTCCCATAACCATTTAAATGAAAACAAAACAAGAAATAATGGGAATAAACAAACAAACAAAAAGTCAAACAGCCAAAAGGAAGTACATTATTCTATCTATCTAATTTATTTTATTTTTCCCCTGAATATTTAATTTTATAACAATTTGTAATGCAATTTGGTGTTACATATGATTTGGTCTGGTTATTATTTGTTTATTATTTTATATTTATATATTATATTGAATATTTAGCATTTAATGTTTGGTGTTAAATAAATTATATTATTTGGTCTGGTTATTATTTATTTATCTATTTTCTATTTATAAAATAAATATTTAACATTTAAATATTTTATAATGCAATTTGTTGTTTCTAACATTTACATACATATGATTTGACTGAATATAAATTTTTTATATTATATTCATACATTATATTCAATAGTTGTCATTTAAATATTTTGTAATAATTTGGTGTTAAATAAAACCATTTGGTCTCATTATTCTTTTATCATATTATATGTATATATCAAATATTTACCATTTAAATATGCTTAGTTATAATCTGGTGTAAATAGTATGCTGCTAGATAAGAAATCGCTACTTCATCTTTAAATATGTTTAAGTGTGATAATGAGCTACAATAAAAAAAAAAAATCAACATTTCTCTCTATCATCACTGTATAATGCCGCTGAAGTGACCTGTGTTTTGTTGGCATGTCAGCGGAGTTGTTCAGACCTCAGCGTTACATATGTACAAGACTAATGTGTCTCCACTGCTGATATCATTCCCTAATTAAACCCCACTGTGATACACACACATACACAAACTCACATTGTGCATAGGTAAAGTATAGGTAAATTCCCAGCATTTTGTCTCATAACACACTGTACCTGCCAATGGCTAAATTACTTTATTGGTCTGTAGGAAAGCAGGTGTTGTGGGCCAGGCCATATGTGGGATTGTGTAGGTATATACGTGTGTGGGCTACAGATGGTCATCTCATCCTCATAATGGGTATATCAGTCTCAAGAGAGGCTGACATAAGCTGTGTGTGAGTGAGTGTCTGTGTGCACGCAGGTATTAATGAATGGCAACATCCATCCTGCTGAGTGACACCTGGGATGGGGAGATAGAAGTCCCAATTTGAATAATAAACGAACATCCATGAGGATGAATGGATGGATGGATGTATGGTTGGATGGAAAAGCCTTTTCTTTCATTTTTGACAATTTTAATGCATCCTTGCAGAATATAATTATAAATATATATCTTACTGACCCCAAACTTTTGAATGGTAGTGTGCATTTAACATCAAATATGTAAAACATGAATGTCAAGACTACTTGCTTTTCAATATTTTTTTCCCATTTACTTTCCTTTTGAATGGTCTGTATTATTATATTTTTATTGTTGAATATTATTGTAAAAATATATATGTAAAAATGTGAAAAATTTGAACCCATGTCCCTATGCACCGCCACAGTTTCCTACACTTCTAAAAGTAAAATTCCCACTGTCCAGTGCAGTAAATTAATGAGTTACAGATTTCATAGCCTGTGCTTTTGGTGTATGTCGTAGTGTCAGTGTGTTTTGTGTGTGTTTGAGCAGCTACATAACATGACTTGGCACTGTGGGTCTGTGATATGCCAGAGAGTAATGGCTGTATCATTCTGCAGTTTGCCACTGCATGCTCTTGTTTAGCGGAGCACAGACTTTTTCGCAATATAGATTGGCAGCATAGATCTGGGCCGTGCTGGGGCTGTTGTAGAGCAGTGGGTAACTTGTCTCTGACATGGCAGTAAGTGTTAGTATGAATATTTAACATTTCATCAGCAGTCATTTGTCTTAAAGCACAGGACTGGTGTTCATTTAAAATCCTCCATCCTCGCGTTCAGCCCGGCTCGGCCGACACGGTGCATCGATACAGCACACGCTGAGATTAAATGGATGGAGGGAGAAACCCATGCAGTATAACAATCTATCAGGCCTAATCAGCCTTTTATATAATGCCTTTACTCTGATGCTTTATCCGTATCATCTCATGCTGTGTAACACTGTTCAAAGCTGTGCAACCATCTGGAAACTAGCATTAATTGGTACCCCAGGTACGACTCAATTTTTGACCCCTTGTGAAAATGCACGTCAGACAACCAGGGCAGATCTAATATTTCAATGTAGCGGAGCACAGACTTTTTCGCAATATAGATTGGCAGCATAGATCTGGGCCGTGCTGGGGCTGTTGTAGAGCAGTGGGTAACTTGTCTCTGACATGGCAGTAAGTGTTAGTATGAATATTTAACATTTCATCAGCAGTCATTTGTCTTAAAGCACAGGACTGGTGTTCATTTAAAATCCTCCATCCTCGCGTTCAGCCCGGCTCGGCCGACACGGTGCATCGATACAGCACACGCTGAGATTAAATGGATGGAGGGAGAAACCCATGCAGTATAACAATCTATCAGGCCTAATCAGCCTTTTATATAATGCCTTTACTCTGATGCTTTATCCGTATCATCTCATGCTGTGTAACACTGTTCAAAGCTGTGCAACCATCTGGAAACTAGCGTTAATTGGTACCCCAGGTACGACTCAATTTTTGACCCCTTGTGAAAATGCACATCAGACAACTAGGGCAGATCTAATATTTCAATGCAAACATTTTGTTTTTATAATGCGGAATTATATTTACAGTACCATATGTTTGGGGTCATTACGATTTTAAGAAATACGATTTTTACTGTAAATACTTTAATTCAAGGATCCATTAAATTGATAAAAAAAGACAGTAAAGTGCTTTTTTACAGTAAATTATTTGACAATAAGTGTAAGAACATTCATTAACAAAGTTTTTAAGAGGTTTCTTTCACTCTCTAACATACTCTGTTGCCTCAAAGGTTAAAGAGACTTTGAAAATTCCTGTTTAGAATATATACGGGGGAATTTACACAGAAGAGATTTCAATTTGTTCTTCCTTTACTGAAACTCTTGAACAGCCTTTACTGCTGTGATTTTAACTCTAAATGTTGGGTGGATGTTTTCAATTAGCATTCAGTGAAAAATAATAATACTTTTCCTTATAGTTTCAGAAGAATATACTGAATTCACCATTTTTTGACTGAACATGGTAATTTTGGTGGGTAAATATCACATTTACCCATTTAAATGGAAGAAATGCTAACCCCCCCTTACTATTATTTCTTAGATTTTGTGACAATATTTCAAAGTTTGTTTTCAGATACTTCAAAGAAAGCTAAGTAGAAAGATGGGAAATGTATGCTCCTCATCTAAATAGTGCTGTCCTTATTTATATCTTTGTTATAGTCAATTAAATTTGAAATCTTGCTTTTTTTATAATGTATATTTTAAAAGCATGTATTTATAACAGACCTCATTAGCCCATATATAATTTTAAAAACATGTCATTGAATGCCACATGACATTAGTAACATTTAAGCTATAATCAGTTCCCCAAGGAGCAAAAAAGTGAATATAAATTCTATTTATGAGTGTTAAACTCTTTAGAAGAGAAGTTCAGCAGATGCGCTACAGAAAGCTGAGCGAACCCTGAAGTCAAGAGTCGTTGCTATGGAAATGATACACCGTATACTCAAGCTGGCAGGTAACACTACTACACATAGAACCCATTATAATCACCGATTCTGTCACGGAACATGTGCTAAATCGGCCACAGTAAACGGAAGCCGCGTTCTATTTCTGACGCACTCTAAACGCTTGTGCTACTGCGCTAAATGGACAAATAGATATGGAAAGCTCCCTCTGATGCATCCAATGTAGAGACGCGTGGGACATTGCAGACCACTTTCTTTTGCAAGTTTCAGCTTCAAACATCTTTGGTGTAAACTGGCTTT